TCTCGCTTGATTTTATCTCATTATAAATAATATATTATTATTTTATATATATATATATATATTAGGGTGGGTAAAAAAAATCAATTAATTTTTTTTTTACAAGTGCCACGGAAAAATGTGTTGCTAGACACCTTGAAAAAATTCTCACCAAATATGAGCTCTTAATTTTAATAGGAAAATATATATATTAATATTATTAATATTCGTGAAAAGAGAAGCTAACTAAATTGGTTTGACTACTTGTACGTATTTATAGATACAAGTACATTTGAATTATCCATTTTATACTTGAGCTAATTTCTTTTACTTTCTTTTTATGTATACCTTTGAAATTATATAACAATTTAAACGATGAACACTCATGTTATATTACATACATGCTCTTTCTATGTATGCTTCAGAAAACAAGTCAAGCGGGAAGTATATTAGAAGATCGTCCCAGATGAGTTCATTGAATTTCGATTGAACGAATATTTATATTTGCTATTCTGGCAATATTTTATGTAAAAAAAAATGTGTATCGACGTAACCGCTAATCCGCATCGCTGTAGAAGTTTCGTGGAAAAATTTGCTGAAGAGTGGTAAAAAAAGAAATATCAAAAGTTTGCATGCCGAGTAAAATAGATAAATAAATAATATATATTACAAAAAGCAGAAATAGATATAAAAATATGTATATATATATTACATACAGAAATTATATTGAAATGAATTTTTTTATTAGTATACATATTATTGAATATTTAAAGAAATTAAAAATGTGCAACTACGATGAAAATAAATAATGCGAATTTACGCGATTTTCTAGCAAGATAAAAAAGAAAAGTTTTAAAAAATTAGCCTAATCAAGAGATATAAAGAGAAAAGAGAGAGAGAGAAAGATAAAACAGGAGGTATAAGTAGAGAATAAATAGAAAAATACAAAATGAATAGTAGAAAAGTGCAAGAATAAAGTCGTAGCTTACCGTACCGAAGACCATAGTAAAAGATTTAAAGAAAAATTGTGGTTCTTGTATATTTTCAAAATGTTGTTGTTGATGTGGTAATTGTTGGTTATTTGATATTTTTTTTTACTAATAGTAGTAGTAGTAGTAGTAGTAGTAGTAGTAGTAGTAGTAGTAGTAGTAGTAGTAGTAGTAGAAGTAATAGTAGTAGTAGTAATAGTAGTAGTTACTGGATTGTACTTGCTGTCAATGTTATAAATCATGGCAATAATGTTGTCCAATTGCGTTTTCATTTCTCGGTGGTTTTTGAATATTTTTTGCTTCACTCGTTTAAATTTGTTTGTCTTATTGTTTCACATTATTTCGCTAATTTAGTGTCACGCTTCTCGACCACCAAAAAATAAAAAACCACTGGCCTGGGACTAACTTCATGAAAGAAATAGGTATTAACGTTACAGAGAGACAGATAATAAACACACACGCACACATATAACAATAAATACGATCATAAGGCACGAGCACGGGCGTGGGTGTGATTGTATAGTAAATAGTATAATAGCGGTAGTAATAGTATATTATAGTAATTATTATTGTGTTTCGGAATGCAGAGTTTATTTTTATTTGGTTTCTCGTGTACCTCCTTTTTTGGACTCATTTTTAATTAATAAATGCATTTACCCTTTCTGAACTAACGACACGAGTTCTCAATGGTTCTTCTTTCGGGAGAAAGATTTTTCTAAAAATATATATTCTTACATGCCAGCAAAGAGATAAATAGTTAATAATAATTATCATTGTGATTAGACCGATTTGTAAATGTTCAATTTGAATTCGTTCGTGGAATGCGAATGGGAGTCGGATATTGTCGAGAATTTATGAAGGGCTATTTGCTTTTTCTTCTTGTTCTTTAGTTACGCTTTTCAACGGTTTAAAGCATAAATATCGTCAAGCTAGCGAACTCGTTAATTAGAAATTCAATCTAATTAAAGTAGCGCTTCGTAAATATACAACGATCCTCGAAAAGAAGTGCATGTATATATATATATATAGTTATAGATATCGTATATATACATAGGATGATGGTTGAGTGTAAAGAATACACGTAGCGACATATACACCAGTAAAGGAGACTTATTACAGGCAGATAATATATATAACATCGACGAGATCCAAATGTCAGTCTCGTGAGAGCTTGATTTTATTAATTTCGAGCGAAAAGGAAGAAAAAAAGAGAAAGAGTGAAAAAGATACATAGAGTGAGAGAGAGAACATCTTTCTTTAAGATTTTTAAATTGACTCTAGCGAGACTTACAAGTGGGGAAAGGAAGTATTGTTTAAAAAATTACGAGAAAGTATGCTCGTTTCCTGAACTTCAGGGCACAGTCAAAATAAACATACATTTTCGTACATAGGTTTCGTACATCCTACGAAATAAACGACAGACAGACAGACAGACAGACAGACAGACAGACAGACAGACAGACAGACAGACAGACAGACAGACAGACAGACAGACAGACAGACAGACAGAC